TTCATTTTTGTTTAAATTTCATTTACTTTGTTCCTCCTACTATAGAGTTACTCCTTGCTATCTTAGAATGAATTCCAAGGTTTACTAATCCTTAGTTCATCTATTAATCCAATATCTACTACACCGTGTACTGCTACTTCTACTACTCCGTGAACCTGTTTCACTCAGTAGCCAGAGGCTCTGTTTGAGAACAGAGGAGAGTGGAGACGGATCTAATATGATTCTATTAAAAAAATTTAACTTAGGGGGGGGGGGGGGCAGTCACGAAATATGAATGTTTGCATTTTCAAGTATTCTATACATTTCCAAAACTATTCTTTTTGCTAATAATTTTTTTTTAAAGATATGTTCATAGCAGCTTTTGCAAATTGTTGACAATTATGCCAATTTCACATTCACATAAATTTTGCCTTCTGGACCGTGTTAGTTTCCCCACTCCTCCTGCATCACTTTAGTAGCACCCCCCCCCCCCCCCCCGCCCTTATCCAGAACAAAGCTTTTAAATTAGCTAGTATTTAAATAAACAGGCATAATAATACTTGTAGTAGTACCTTCAATTAGTTTACACAATTTATTTTATTGTTTTGCTGTAATTAAACATTTGAAAATAATCATTTAGATCAATACATCACATTGTGTAATAAATACATTATTCCATGTAAAAACCCATGCATTTTGTTATTTGTCTGGAGTTGTCTACATTTGTCCATATACAGTAACAAAGACAGCAATAGAAAGAATAGATGGAAGTTTTTGTCAACCTTCCCCATAGTTGGTGGAACCTGGCCTGATCCCGACGTAGTCTCACTCTCATTGGAACTCTCGTCTCTCGATATCAGAAACTGAAACTTTCGGTCTACACAAAAGACCTCCCAGGCATGTCTGGTAACAATGACAATCCTTCCTGTGAAAAGGAAAATGGCTAAGCAAAGAAAAAGAACCACCTGCAAAAAAACAATAATTGCCTACCTGATGGAGAGATATCCCTCGGCCTTGGCTTGGGTGGACGATATATGAAACCATCGGCTTGCGCCCAGCCGATCGAGGAATCCGGATATTACCCCCACGGGACCCTTAACATCCGCTTAGCCGAAACTACAGCGTTGCAAACTCGCTTCGTTTCGTACCTCCTCGGAGTCCATAAAGTCACAAAGAAAAAATAGAATGTATCATAAATGCTTATTAGAAGCCAAATTCCGATAGCAAAGAGTGATCTCCTCGTGGATATTTCCAAGCTGAGTGGGATTCCGTCATGAAGTTAATTCTCAGGCTGCATATTATTGTTTTTTGTGGTAATTCTTGATCAACTTGCAAGACGGAGCACACGACGAATTGCGAAACAAAGCCAATTATGGAGAGATCGTTGAGATAACGCAGAACTGAACGTAGATGGCAGCAAAGCAATTTTGTTTTAGGTGTTGTTGACACATTTTCTCTTCTATTTCTTAACTTTTGTTAAATTCTCTTTCAAAATTTGTTTCCTTATCTTTTCTGTCATTGATTTGTTTCGTATATGCATATAATTTATGTTTTGGGGTGATTTAGCGTGATATCAGGTTTGACTTTCCCTTTAATGAAATGGAGTTCATGTATTTAATTTGAAAATTCCATTCACCTATTTCTTGTAAATGATCAAGGATGATTCGTGAATGATCAGTTATTTCAAGGGGATACCAATTAATTTGTATTTTACCTGTTTATATGCTTGTGTATTTATCTATTTTGTTTTTATGCTGTTATTTGTTTTTATTATTACCAAACAGGGCCTCACGGAAGACCACCAAATTGGTGATATGTGCCACCCTGTATAAATATCAGAAATAAATAAATAAATAAATAAATAAAATACAACTCGTTTCACAGCTGATATGAGGCAGTAATTATATGGTCCAAGACACCTCTACCCAGTTCCAAGGCAGTTACACTATCATTCTGTAAATTCATTATCTCAGAATGAAAGTTATGAATAAGGTATTGTAATATGCATGTGTGTTATCACTAGAACAGGTAAGATTTCAGAAATGAGAGAAGTTGGGAAAATAATCACATCAATGCAGTCACTGGGCCCTTTTTCTACCCGTTTCCCTTTCCATTTCTGATATTTTTTTCTAAATCTATTAATTTCATTTTTTTTCTTCTTTTCATTATGATTATTATGATTATTATTCTTATTATTATCACGATTATTAATTTATATTATTTCTATTTTTTTTTTTTGGTGGGGGGAAGGGGGGTGGGGGGTTACTACAAAGATCAACCCCTTCCCACACTGTTTCTTTCTCACGAACTACATGTTGTCTACAAGTGTTCATAAATAAACAGGGCAACTAAAATGGAAGTCATTGTTCCAGTTCATTACTGTTACTTATTTCATTCTCTCTCACCTCTTTTTATCAATTCCTCTTTGTCCCTCACCCCCCCCCCCATGTTTTTCTTTCTCTCTACCTCTCTCTCTCCCTCTACCTCTCTCTATCATAAGTTGAAATGAATGGAAAGATGATCCTTAAAACAGAAACTGAAATCAGAACACAATTGAGGAAACAGTGAAAAACAATTTTGGTTGAAAAAAGAATATTTAATACCATGTCTTTGACATATTCCATGATTGTAGTAATGCAGTACTTTGTCACTCATTGTAATAAAAAAACGAAACATGAAAATAAGTTAAAAGATAACACAAGCTTAAAGCCAGCACACAAATAGTTGTGCGATTGAACCGATGGTAAATCTTTTAAAAAGTCTTCTACCCTATACTCATGATGGGGCATTTTGACTTTTCCATAACCCTTACAGGCTAAGTTTTTTATATTTGTGTGACCTTACAGGCTAAGTTGATTAAATAGTCTGTTTTTTAAATATTTCTACCTATCAAGTATCTACTTATATTCCAAAGGTCTGTCATAAATTGTTCTCCCTCTAAAAAGCATTAATAAATCTATGAAATTTTTGGAGGAAAGCAGCAGACATTTCTGTTAACAAATCGAGATTTGTTTAAAAACTTGGTTCATTTCAAATTCACACATGCCATGCTTCAGAGAAATTTACCGGTAATACATTTTGGGGTTTGGCAGTTCATGATGGGGTGAGGTGGGATACCTTTTCATTTGTCCCCTCCCTCATCGTCACAGCCGGAGCGAGACCAAGCTTTAGAAATTTGACCATAAGCAGGTAAATCGGTACAGAGAAACGTCAGGTACAGATAAATGTCAGATTATTTTTTAAATTACCAGAGGGCGTACACACTACTCTAAACATAACCATGTGTGGAGTATTATGATATCAGGCTTATCAGGCATCAGGGTCTACTCGGCACTTCAAATGCTAGCTACACAGACACTTCTGATAACAACTCGGGATCTGTTAATAAACTAGGGTCATTTCAAGTTCACATGCCATGCTTTCGAAGACATTTCATACATTTGGTGGTTAGGCAATTCATGATGGGATGAGGGAAGATTCCTATTCATTTATCCCCCCCCCCCCCCCATGCTAAACGCTTAAACATTACCCCATTACTATTTTATAAGCTTCAAGCGAGTCATTTTGAAAACTGGTGTATAAAGATAACTGCCTGATGAAACCAACCCATGCAATCTATTGAAGCTCTCCTGGCAAACTTGGCCTTGATTTTCTACAAAGTCCAAGTTGTCCCTATTGCAAAGTTAGACTGGATCCTGTATTTCAGCCCATATGTACAAGGGCCATTCATATACATCATATAGTAAAGAAACAAATTAAATTACATTTTATTTGTGGTGTTTCTAAAACACAATTTTTCAACAAACAATACATTTTCTTAAAATGATATAGTTTATAAGCAATTACAAAATATTTGAAGTTGAAATGGTCAAACCATATGTTAATATCTACCACCTCCTCCCCTCCTTCCACCTCTACCCCTACCTCCTCTCCCTCCCCCACCTCCTCCATAACCACCACCACCACCACCTCCTCCCCCATAACCGCCCCCTTGCCCTCCTCCCCCATAACCGCCCCCTTGCCCTCCACCGTCATAACCCCCTTGTTGACCACCATACCCTCCTCCGCCCCCTTGGCTATTGTAGTGACCTCCACCTCCACCACCTCCTTGGTTATAATTTGCACCCCCTCCTCCACCCTGATTCCAGTTTCCACCACCCCCACCTCCCTGGTTCCAGTTTCCTCCTCCACCTCCACCTCCTCCTCCTCCTCCTCGTCCACCCCTTCCTCCTCCTCCACCTCCAGACCAACCTGTATTGGAAGAATAGAATATTGAGAAAATGATATGATAACAGTATGGTGTACCAAGTCATAATTTCATAGAATTTTTTTTTTTAAAGGATTACTGGGACGCTCCATAATTACTGATAGAGCAGCCTTTGATATATAGACATTTAAAGATAAAGTTGAGTTCTGGTCATGCGATTGCATTGTGAAAGAAACGGTGTGGATTCGATCAGAAAAGGATGATCATCTAGCATAAAAGTATTGGTGTATTGCTAGGTTCTGGAATCATTAAAATGATTAAAAATTTGGCCCAGTCTTGGTAAACTTACAAGCACTGTACACAGAAATATGGAGATGGGACTACACGAACGTGTGGCATAAAAATCTGTCCTGATTTTTATGCATTTGAGGAGCCATACTTTTCAGGGAACATTTTTTATCTGATGTTCTTCCACACTTGCAAAATAACAATGATAGCGCTCACAAATCATTTTTCACCTCTTCCCAGAACTCAACCTTCAATCTGAGTATTCTTATCTCAGCTCAAGTCACAGATCTTACGTTTGATTATTATTATTATTAATAATATTATTAGGCATTTAGCTACGCTATTCATAGTACACTATATCACAGCGCTTACAATAATATGCAATATAACAATATAACCACAAATTTTAACATAACATTGAACAAACAAAAATAATAGCGAATCAAGTAGGAAATAAATAGGTTTTAAGGAGTTTCTTAAAGACATCCACTGATGGAGCAGCTTTTATACTGAAGGCAAGTTTATTCCACTCCATAGCTGCTGCAACAGTGAATGTGCGATCTCCTGCCTTACTACGAGCCACATGAAAAGTCAATCGAAATGGGTCTGCATTGGAGCGAAACTTAGATAAATTCTTGATGAAAACTTAAATATAGATGCCAAAAGGCTCTGAATTGTAGTTGACAACTTACCACTTTGCACCCTCCCTCCTCCTCTGCCGCCTCCTCCCCTGCCTCCTCCTCTACCTCCTGTAGAATTTTAAAAAAAACAGAAAATGAAACCATGTTGCTCAATCCCGAGTGTATTTTCAAGGGTCTGTTTCAAGATTAGAAGCACTGTGAATATATAGTTTGAGAACATTCTCTGTATAAAAGGGTACAGCCTGCAGCTATCTATCTAGTCTGAAATTAATAATGAAGAATAATCCACTTCCACTATATCAAGATAGGGCAAATTTATTACAACATAAGTGAGTAATCTGAGGCATGCCAGGTAAAATGTGATGGAAACAAACACTTATCAAAGATTGTGTGTGAAGTATCATCATTATCATCATTTATTAAAATCAGCATTTTCTCTCTAACAAGGGTTTACTGACTCTCACCCCATGATGACACCCACTCCCTCCACTTCTTCTTGTCTTGAGCATCCTCCTCATTTTGACAATCCTAACTGCTTTCTTTCTTCACCATATCTTTCCATGAAATCTACGGGCTGAATTTCCACTTCCAGATTCCATGTTCTTTTCACAAGTTAATCATCTTACTTTCTCAACACATGACCCCTCCATCTCAATCCACTTCTCTTTACCACTTCTACCACAGCTTCTTCCAGACCCAACCTTTCCATGAGCTCACTTCTGTTCTTTCGATCGGACATTTTCACACCACTCATCTTCTATATCCTGGCTCTTTCTGTTCTCCTCAAGATACCTCCTATTGTCTTCACATTCCATACTTCTGAACCATATATCATTGCTGTTCTAACACAAGCCCTATAGATCTAGACAACTGATTTCTAATACAGTGATACAGAATCAGTATTTCGCTTACAACCACTGAATATATATTGGTATTATGAAAAATAAATTTTGATTAATTTCATTAGAATGACAAGCCGAATCTCACCTCTGCCACCCCCTTCTTGTCTTTTCTTGAATGAGGGCATTTCTTTTGGGGCGGTATAGCTTCCTGGGGTCTCCCTCCCCGATCAGGAACCTGATAAAAGACCAAGAACAATCAGAAAATTAAGCTATTTGAAATTAATTCATGAATTGTCATTTAATTAACATAAAGACAAAAAACAAAATGATACAGGGAAAATCAACTTTGTTATGGAAAGATTTGGGTGAAAGTGGGAGTCATCTTTTATGTCCCAGTTCTGTTTTATATAAAAACTAGATGGAATTTTGACTGCGCGCAGTCGAAAATGATGCCTCCGCCATAGAGCAATTTAAACAAGTTTGGAGTTTAGATCTCCAGTGGTTCTTGAGATATCATGATAACAATCTCAATGTATGGAATTTCATAAGTTGACCTCTGTGACCCTTGACCTTTGACCTACGTGCTCCAAAATCTAATCAGATTGTCTTCCTATGGTGATACACACTATCATTAAGTTTGAAGTTTAAATCTCCAGTGGTTCTTGAGATATTATGATATGGTGATACATACTATCATTAAGTTTGAAGTGAAAATTCTCCAGTGGTTCTTGAGATATCGCGATAACGATCTCAATGTATGGAATTTCATAAGTTGACCTCTGTGACCCTTGTGCTCCAAAATCTAATCAGATTGTCTTCCTATGGTGATACACACTATCATTAAGTTTGAAGTTTAAATCTCCAGTGGTTCTTGAGATATTATGATAGCAATCTCAATGTATGGCATTTCATAAGTTGACCTCTGTGACCCTTGACCTTTGACCTACGTGCTCCAAAATCTAATCAGATCGTCTTCCTATGGTGATACATACTATCCTTAAGTTTGAAGTTTTTACATCTCCAGTGGTTCTTGAGATATCATGATAACAATCTCAATGTATGGAATTTCATAAGTTGACCTCTATGACCCTTGACCTTTGACCTACGTGCTCCAAAATGTAATCAGATTGTTTTCCTATAGTGATACACACTATCACTAAGTTTGAAGTTTAAATCTCCAGTGGTTCTTGAGATATCATGATAACAATCTCAATGTATGGAATTTCATTAGTTGACCTCTGTGACCCTTGACCTTTGACATACGTGCTCCAAAATCTAATCAGATCGTCTTCCTATGGTGATACATACTATACTTAAGTTTGAAGTTTAAATCTCAAATGGTTCTTGAGATATCGCGCTAACAAACTCAATACAAGGAATTTCATAAGTTGACCTCTGTGACCTGTGACCTTTGACCTACGTACTCCAAAATCTAATCAGATCGTCTTCCTATGGTGATAAATACTATTCCCGAGTCTTAAGTTTAAATCTTAAATGGTTCTTGAGATATTGTGATAACGGTCAAACGGGACGGACGTACGGACGTACGGACGGACAACCCGAAAACATGATGCCTCCGGCACCACCTTCGGTGGCGGAGGCATAAAAATAATGTTGATATAGGAAAACAATTCTGGTACGATTTGTATTTTCATCATCAATTATAATAATATCACATCAAGTCATACATTTGATAGGCTTCACAATACATCAGAATCATGTGTTTTGGGGGTCTATTTTTAATGCCTGTTTATTTACACCCAAATTGTTTCTCTTTCAACATTAGGAAAAACTTTAAGTCTAGGTGATGACAATGGATATGGCATCTAACATTACACCCCCCCCCCCCTTTTGATTAAGAAAATTTGGGACAAAAAGAAAATTTAGAAAAAAAGGGTATAATAGGGGTAAAATTAGGAGGAAAAAAAAAATTGGGAAAAAAAAAAAAATTGGGAAAAAACCAGGAAACCGATTTAAATTGGGTAATTAGCAGGCCTGCAAAATATAAATTTGAAGGTAAGGTTACATCCGGTATTTCAGTTGGCCAACTTACCGTTCCCATCATGACTTTATTAATATCGCACTGTGTGTTCTTTCTGGCTGCTCCACTACTGGTCTTCTTCATCTTGGCAAGGTCTGTAGAGGCGATGGAATATATTGGACAAGAGATGAGGAATTAGTTCACAGATTGCACAAAGTATATTTTTCAAAATTGAAGAAGACAAAAATCGAATGAGTTTGAACTGATATGCATACCCTGAATTGATCCGTTTTCATATCCCTTACTGTACACTGTTCTGTAAATAAAAGTCAATAGTCACGGTTGAGACATGGATATCACATGTATGCTACAAATTCTTCCATAATAAGCCGCACAATGGCACTCATTAAAACCGGGGCTATTATATGATGCCTATTGAAAGTTTTTTTTTTTCTTCTTGCATAGCACTTCAGGACCAAGAGCACTGCGATTCTGCAGTCTGATAATAGAATTAAAGTCTGAAAAATTACAAACACTACCACTACATGATGTCTAAAAAATGGTTCTAGGACACCTACCCCCTGGATAACCACCCCCAGTCAACAACCCCTTAGGACAACCACCCCCTAGGATGACTACCCCAAGGACAACTACCCCCTAGGGCAACAACCTCCTAGGATGACTACCCCCTGGGACAGAGGATGGTTGCCGTAAGGGGTAGTTGTCCAGGGGGAAGGGGAGGTAGTTGTCCAGGGGGTAGTTGTCCAGGGGGTAGTTGTCTTAGGGGGTAGTTGTCGGGGGGGGGGGGGGTAGCTGTCCTAGGGGGTAGTTGACTGGGGGTGGTTATCCAGGGGTTGGATATCCAGGGGGTAGGTGTCCGGATACGATAAAAAATATTTAGCTGTTTGGCAAAATGGTTCTAATCATATCTCAATGTTGCACTAGTTTGGAACTATTTTGGAAGGTTACAGGCTGTGACACTTACTTTCTCTGGCAGCCATCATGCTAGCAATGGTCACAGTATTCTCTGAAGTCAGCCCATTCCTTCTACTTCTGTAAACACGGGAAAATTCATTCTCTTTGTTCTGTCAAACATACAAAATAAAAAAATAACATCACTATTTGATTTTACAAAAATATTTTTAATAATTTGAACATAACATAATACCTACATAATATATTTTTTTCTTCATTAGTTTCTTCAAAAGTTTAATGATTAATAATAATAATAATACATAACATTTATTAGGCGCTTAATACTGATGTTTCTAAGCGCACAGTGTTCTGATTAAGAGAAGACTATAACCCGTAGAATTAAATTAGAAGAAAAAGCAAAAATACAAAAGTAACATAGATAAGGTAAGAAAAACAGTGGCAATCAACTAAATAAAGACAAATATGGTGCGCACCTCCATTGACCGACGCACAACTGCAATTTACAATTTGAAAAGATAGGTTTTGAGTAGAGATTTGAATTGAGATACAGAGGGGGCGCAGTGAATAAAGGCGGGCAGTTTGTTCCAGAGAGCGGGGGCAATAACTGAAAAGGCGCGGTCACCATACCGGGTGTTAGTGCGGGGTCCAGGTGTTAACAGTAATGTGGAAGATGAACGAAGTGTTCGTGACGACGTACGGGAACGTAAGGATATGAGATCGGAAAGGTAAGAGGGGGCTAAGCCATTGATAGCTTTGTAGCACAGGAGAAGAATTTTGAAGGATATGCGGTGGTGAATTTTAAGCCAATGTAGTGAGTTCAATATTGGAGTTATGTGCTCTGATTTACGCGAGAGAGTCACAAGCCGAGCAGCGCTATTCTGTACCCTTTGAAGTGGGACTAGATGTGACTGAGGGAGGCCAGAAAGAGAAGAATTACAGTAATCGATATGGGTCGAGACAAAAGCATGGACTAATTTTGAAGTTGTGGGTCGGTCAAGTAGCCTCCTGATTCTACTGATCTTATATATACCAAAGGAAGCAGACTTACAAATATTACTAATGTGTTGTTTGAAAGTAAGATTGCTGTCAATATTTAAACCAAGGTCACGCACAGAAGCACAACAACTGAGAGAGCCATCACTCATAACAAGATCAGGAAAGGGGTCTGAGTTCCGAAATTTAGAAGTAATATGAATCATTTCAGATTTTGAATCATTAAGGCAGAGACAGTTTTCAAAAGACCAGGTTTTGATTTCATTGAGGCAACTGGTGAGTTTGTTCGCGGCTACTGTCCTGCTGTTTGGGTGAAGAGTTACATAAATCTGGTTCTAAACATTTACAATTTCTTTTCTTATTCTATTTCATTTCCAGAGAGAATTGCACAGCCTACTAAACAATAATAATGAATACAAGGAATGCACCCAAAACTAGTAGCTGTATGAAAACAATTTTCTGTGATACACAGCTATCTTTATAAACTGATGAAAGATGAGAGAAATAAATAAGTTTCAACATTAATTCTTAATAGGAATATACAATCGTTTATTTCAAATTAAATATACATTTCTTACAATTAGTCGCATATATCAAAGCTCTCACTACAAAATATTTTTCTGACTTTACTAGCTATCAAAGCTGGATTGTATACAACTGCAATGTTCCATCTCTGTCAGATAGTTACCATGTTAAGAGTCAAAACCAAGGTGTAATCCCACAAAAGGCCCTTGCATATCAAAGCTTGACCATACCTTAGCTCTGTCTGACCATGTAAAGGACTGGACAGTCACATCAAGCCGCTTCAACAACATCTGACGTCTGATGCTGTATTCTCTTCGCATCTGCTCGTTGATGGTGTCCAACGTTCCCTGCCAAAAGTAAGATCAAAAGGATAAATGTGTTACATCATCAAGACAAATTCAGATACCATACAGGTAGCTAGCTATCTTTGCCTCATATCAACTGTCAACAAAATCTGCAGTGTGCTGTGCACAATCTTGAATCAGTTTATTATGATTAAAAAAACATCGAACATGCAGCCCAAGAGCTAAAAATATACAATTTACAAAATAAAATAAAAGGAATACATACAAATCAAGATGGAAAATTAATATATCTAACACAATACTATGCTACTATTCTCACAATTATGAACAGTTGCCACAGACAAACTGTTAAAGAGGGCGTTCAAAATTACGTACGCGCTGGCGGACGGTGCTATAGCTGCCTCTTGACACCAACAGCTCTTACTCAGATGGCATGTTCCGATAACTACACTGGCGGGAACGTGCCCCTTTAATGATAGAGCACTTGTGTAGCATTAGATACTAAACATGCTGAAGTATGATGGTGCAAAAGAATGTCCAATTAGAATTTGAGAGTAATGTTTTGAATGAATGAAATGACTTTTTTTAAGAAATACAAAGTGGCAGTGTTGTCAAATTCTATTTTATCATTACTCTATTCACTATTGAATTAATCACAGACAAACAAGAAGCTGCAAAGACAAGTATATGTATCAGACACCAATAAGAAAGTGATCAGTAATGCCTCTGTCTTCATATTCAAGATTTGGGGCTTTAAACCTGCCTATGAAAGCAACACACTAACTGGGCTTTTTGAACAAGATTTGAGGTATCACATTCGTCACAACTCAGGTGGCATCTTGAATCACCTCAGAATAGCTGCTCAAAGGTTTGAAGGAATAAATCAACATGACATTAACTATTTGATTAAAACTTTAATGTTTAGAAGATTAGCTAGGATTAGAAGAGTTGTGGAGTTCCAGAGAACTGAATGAAAACGTTTGAGGAGCAAATCACTCTGAGCAAGGCTCATCAGAAATAAATAAAGGTTCACATTTATCATGTTGAGACACCATCCAGCTTGTGAGAATCCCCCAAATCAAAAACAAAATCAAAATTGTTTAAGACAGGTAAAGGTAATACATATTTTTGGGAAATTTTGAAAATTGGGTGTATAGTGAATCTTTACAATTTTTATAGATTTGGATGCCCCTGTGGATGTATTGATTATAAGCACCAACAAAATTAGCCCCTAAAATACTTCTATTTTCGAGAAAAATTGAATATAAAAATTTACCGGTACTCCCGGTAAATTTTGATAAATTTCAAATAGCGCCTATGGCCGTACAATGGTAGCTGCGACCATGAAAATCTCAGAATATGTAGTTGTGATACACAATTTCCGAACGGGAATAGCTAATCGGTCGATTTTGGTCAAGAAACATTGTTTCATAGCTAAATGAAGATCTTGACCTTGTGAGGGAGCTATACAAGATAAAGAGTTAATTATTTACAATTTCATAACTTTAGACTCGATTTCAACCGCGACAACGATCAATGAATATTGTAGGAACGCATATGCTTCCAATATGTTAAATTGAACCAAATTCATGACCCCATACCAAAACTTTGTAATACCTTTAAGAAGATCTTAGATAGAAAATTGACACACCTATGGAAGTTAAAAGACCGCCAACAAGAAGGCAAAGAATTTGAAGAACTCACTCACCCACTGCCCTGACGTTAGATTCCACTTGAAGAGGGGCTTTCCCACAGCATGCTTGGAGCTGGCGATGACAGACTTAAGTGTAACCTCCAGTTTTGTGAAGAGCGTGATCTCGGTTACATTGGGTGGAGGCTTAGGTAGTTTGAGGAGCATGCAGAGATTCTTTAGGCTCCTGCTGCTGGCCTTCCAGTGTGCCTGCCAATTGGAGAAGAAGAAGAAGAACAAAAACATTCTGAACATTCTGAAGTTGGTCATCAGCAGGGTGGTTCTCTGTATGTTGCCGCTGATTATTCTTGCTTGATACTGATCAATACTCGACTGGTTATTCTTGATTTTAAAAATGAATTTTTTATCCAGTTGAATAAATTCAAACTTTCATGACATTCAACTTTCACAAATTGTAAACAATGATCTTCACAGCAAGAACTTTTGCGAATTAAAAAAATTAAGTGTTGGTCAGTGCTTCCTGAAAGTCTAAAAAGTATGAAAACTTCTGACTTCAGAAAAATACTTAAGATTTCAAAGACTCCAAATTTTGTAAGTTCAACTCCTGATTTCCAAATTCCAAAACATAAACAATATAAAGATCAACTATGATTAGCTTACATCTTCAGCCGGTGCAGTACTGGAAGGTTTAGTTGGTTGTCTAACTTGAATCATTTTAGCCGACTGTAGCTCCGTTATAAGGAAATCTGGAGAAGAAAAGAAATCACACAGAACAAAAAATGGCTGAAATAGTTTTCTTTCCCAGTTTCTGATGTATTCATGTAACCCTAGTCAATGCTGGAGCCCGGAGGACAGTGTTCTAGTATTCTGGTATAAGTATCTGCAGGAATAGTATCATTACATAGGCACTGCTATATGTTTTCTCTTAATATATAGAAGCTTGCCTAAGTAAAATCAAAGGTAGAATTACTTTGCATACTATTTTGCACCTTTCTTGGCTTATACCCCTAATATGGTTTGTGAACAGCTTATAATACTACCTTTAAAGCCCATCTGTACTAGTGTACAGGAGGATTGGATCACCTGCAAGGTCACTGGACAGGTGATTTTCTCATCAAATCAGCTCTCAATTAACTTAATGGGGGACCGAGGGTCACCGATTACGCATTGTTTGTTATATAGAGGGCGCAGGTAGCTATGAGTAGTGCAGTGGGCCTTTAACAAACCATCTAATGAGACTACATTGACCAAAAATAATTATATTGCCAGAGTTTTTGTCTCAAATCATCTGAAAAAATGAGCTAGTTAAAAACACTAATCTTTTTACTATTTCATATTAAAATAATATGATACAGCACACTTGTATGTAAGAATGACGCATACAAATGACTAATAGTTTTCCTCACCTAAGAGTAGTAATCTGTTAATCTTGTTGCCCAGTCTGTTGATCATTTCTCCTTGTGTAAGGACCTTGTATGGGCAGTAGAGCTCCTTCAGGAGCCCACTGAGCTCCAGTTCAAAGGAGTCCGCATCTTCAGCACCTACATATCAATTATCAAAGATGGAATACAATATAAGAGATTTGTCCACCTGATCATCTCCCCCTCTTTCCTCTCTCTCCTCACCCCCCCCCCCCCCCTTCTCTCTCTATTGCTCTGGGTAATTGAGCACATACATGGAAAGACATCTGAGCTAACTTTAACTGAGGGGATATGCATTTTTAGAAGTGTATTAAACTTCTTTTTAAATAGTTTGTTTCAACATATGTTTGTATCATAAAACACAGAATAAGCTTTTTGAATATTTCATCTGTATAGCAACTATAAATAGGGTGTCTGATCGCGCACCCGATGTTGTGTGCTAAAATTCTTCCCATAGAGATTACACGCATCCCTATGCAGTCTACGTGCATTGCGCGACCATGCAAAAAAAGTCAATTTTTTTTTTTCAATTCGAGATTCAAACCTTTATCTGTTGTGATCCTGAAGGTGATAATCAATAAATGAGGTGTCATATGAAAGAGCAGGTAAATTCCAATATTTCTAAAGGGGCGTAGCCCCCGAAATTCTAAAAATATCTTGGTCAAAACAGCAATTGAAACATTGTGTCCTGGCTAACTCTGAGGTTTGTCACTTTTGAGATATGACGCCCCGATCGATAAGTAGTCCCAGTCCTAAGGAACAATTCTATGTGCTTATATTTTCGCTAGCCCCCAGGGATCACAACTGATAACAGTTTAAAAATACCCTTCTCGCTATTTGGTGGATCAGCTAATTAGGGGGCGTGCGCTCCGCTCAGTCCAAACCATGGTTACATCGCGTAACATCTCCGCGCACGAACGAAACCCCAAATTCAAGTATGGGTGGCCATTCGCGGCATAGAACCCGGAAGTGAATGCACGTTATAGTCAATGGCAATATCTCAGCGATATTGCCATTGACTATAACGTGCATTCACTTCCGGGTTTATTGTGCGACGAACGCCAACCATACTAGTCAATGGCACATGTCGCGGAGACAGCGTAGCTCAAGCTGCAAGTCGCGGATTGGCTTAGCAGCATGCGTACGATATGCATACGCTTGCATATCGCGCGATACAGCCGTTTGGCTAAATTTAGCAAAACAACATCACTCTGCGTAGACGTCTTTTTCGTCGATTTTGACCAAAATGATATGAATATACCAGCGTTTTGGAGGGGCTGTAACTTTAGATAGAAACATCGGTGAGACTTGAAATTTGAAATGTATTATTCTGATAACATCTTTTATTCAAATATCAAACAAAAATGGTGAAAAACGATCCCAAATTGAAAATTGAAAAATCGTTCAGACACCCTACTATAAACCATGAATGGACAACAAAACAGCAGTTTATGGCCAACAATGCAATACATTTTCCAGTACAGCAAATAGAATTATCCCTCTTACAAGTTAATACAAAAGATGAAGGGGTAAGAGGAGGCGGGTGATGATGATGAGGATGAGGATGAGAAGGATGAGAAGGAGGAGAGGGAGAGGGAGGAGGGGGACTGGACAGGGAGAAGGGGATGGGGAGAAGGGGATGGGGAGAAGGGGATGGGGAGAAGGAGGAGGGGAGGAGGGGATGGGGAAGAGAGGATGGGGAGGAAAGGGGAGAAGAAAGGAGTATAGAGAAGAAAGAGGCAAAGGATAATGGAATGCCTCGAGTGATAGCCTATCCCAAGACTAGATGACTTACAGGAAGTTGGTGATACAGAAGCTTCTAGATCACAAATACTGCATAGCTGAGAAGACATCCATGCTACTACCCCAGTGAAGTCTGGTGAACTTGGACCTGCTTCTACAGAAGCCAGGAACAGGCTCTCATCTAAAAGTAGTCCTTCATACCTATGGAATGTGACAATAAAAAGTAATTGTTTGGGTATTCTCTAAAATTGTAGTCACTGCCACTCATCTAACGTACGAGGTTTCTAGGGTATATACAAACTCGAACTCCTTACCGGTATCTAATGTGGTCATGGTAAATCCTATATTTCCTGGGGGGGGGGGGAGGGGGGGGGGGGTACTCACATAGTCTAGTCATACGGGATGTGCCGCTCTAATAATGGGGCACAAAAATCCCTAAACATGGGTCCCATTTTCAACAAAAATAGCCCTAAGCATAGGTCCATTTTTTCAAAATTTCCAAATATTTTTTAGTGTTAAATAGCAAACATCCAAAAATTGTGAAAAATGGGCTCGAGGAAAATCCCCCCCAATGGGTTCGAGGCTCGAGCGGCACACCCCTAATTTTTGGGCACCGTTTTTTTTTGGGGGGGGGCAGCCCTGGCTACGCGCCTGATTTCTTCCTATTTCCCTCTCCAGTTCCATCTTCTCCTCCTTCTCCTGTCAATTAATTCACCGGCCTTTTCTCATGATTAAGATTATGAATGCTTGGCTCAGTTTTACCTTGGCTTGTATTTTCTAAACTTCTGAGTAGACAGAAACTTACCCAAGATCGCCTAAACTGTCCAAAATGTCACAATTTTGAGCACTTAATGACCCCATTATTGTATCATATAAGGAGCTGATCCGCCACGTTTAATGCTGTTTGCGGACGGGACGTCGGATTTTAGTAAGCCGTCGATCGTCGAAAAGGGCTAAATTCTGCTGCTAGCTCTGTAAACTCTGTCAGCAGCTGTGGGTCGCTAGTAGAATTTGCAACCGCAGATGGCAGCAGACCATAACGAAAGAAAGAAACGTGAAAATGGCGTCTTTGAAAGCAACAGTGACGATGTATCAAGAATTAAACAAGGAATGGAAGAAGAAAACGCCCGATCTAAACAAATGCGGTGAAATATTGGGAAAGTTGAAGGTTAGACTCTATGATTCTTTGATTTTTTTGTATCGTTCTTTATTAGTTCGAGAGATATTAGACAGTATTTGTGGCTTGGAAGAGCTGACTCATTGACGGATTGTATAGTCCCGTTCGTAAGGATACAGGTTGGAAAATACCCAGTTGTCAAATATTTTCATTCATTCATGATTTCATTGTTCGTTAGCACCTCCTGTACATTTTTCTTTGCACAGAGTAACAGTTTATTACTATTCAACCTCTGCACGCTAGTGAATTTCTAAATATTAATAATTGTAATTTCAATTCATTTCAATTGTTGTTCATTTTCATTTTGTCTGTCTCTCTCACACATAGCTGCATAGACCGAAAACTTCAGTCTCTCTAATCTTCGGTTGTTCCACTGAGACTACGTCTGGCTCCACTAGACCTCCGATTATAGAGACTGAAGATTGTCCTATCGGGACTGTACGGAACCAATGGTTCGGTTCGGCAGGACCGCGATGAATGAGATATGCTACGAGATTTTCACTCTTTACATCCTCACACATGCTGCAATATGACAATAATTAGACCTCTAGAGTCTAGAGTCTAATTAAAAATAACATATAAATAGCTTATTTGACTTACGATAGCTTGCTCATTTAGATCCTAAATTAATGATTAATCCGAGAAAGTCTCGTCGTCAACATTATCCGTCTTGGTTTTAGTTGATGAATATTAATTTTTTCTTTTCGAACGTCCAATAGCTACCGTAGCTACATACGAGTCGGCCCGGCTTGACCAACGAACTCCCACGAAACGAGTGCTCTGATTGGCCATTGGCTATGTTTTGGTAGGTGGACCCGGAAATATATCGGCCGCCGGGTAATATTTCGAATGCATGAACGTACTGCTTCGCGGTTCTGAGGTACAAATTGGATAATTCATATAAGTAAGTCCGTAAATTATTTATTTAATATTAAGTTATCAAATTTTGATAACTGTAATTAGGACAAATGACATATCGACCTAATTTACATCTGATTTAGAAATCAGGAAATTAGATCTAAATAAAGAAAATCGGGGGAGAAATGTCGGTAACGAAAAGCTGTTACGCTGTGGCTCTAATTTACCCCCACGGTACGAGATCTCTGGGTTGCCATCTGTATTGGGGAATGACAACAAATGTCAGTTTTATTAAAGAAATGACCCAAATCAGATGGTTATTGCTGTCTAATAGCTGCATTACTATCCTGGCTGTGTATTAAAAAACTGTTCTATTGTTTCTCAACATTTCAAGCACCACCGTACAAAACTTAAGAAAGAAAGAAATAATAATTTTACCAAGACATTAAAAGAAAGAGATGCGATGAAATTGGCAACAATAGTCAAATTTGACTAATAGCCATTATAATACCAAACGAACAACAACAAATAACGGAGTTCACTAAAAATCGGTACTTTAGTTTAGTGACAATTGATGACACCTAGATAGCATTAGCAGTATCTTTCCAACTTACCGATGGCGATGTTAGAAAGAATATTTTGAAAATTCAAATCGTGAGTTTACTGTCAAACTTGCCGATTAGCCACTTCGTATTCATTGTGTGCATTAGTATACTGTATACTTGGTCTGAGAATGAGGATCGTCCTCATAAACGAGGATATCCTCATAAACGCGAAGAGGATGCGTCCTAAATAATAAGGATTGTTTGCATTTTTGCAGACGTTTTTTTTCATCAGCGCTCTGCGGGTTTCGGTGCAAAAAATGGATTCCCCGTGAGAAAATAACCTTAGGTCACCGTCTACTTTTATGGGTTGTCCGTCTTCCCGAGGATTTATCGCTCATAATGTGAAAGTCTCTGTACAAAGTCAATGTTAAATGCATCAGGAAAATCATCGCGAAATCCGATTTTCACATCGCCAGCGCGCCGATCAAAAATATGAAACGTCTGCAAAAATGCAGATGATCCTTTTTTTTGAGGACGCATCAGTCCGTGTTTACGAAGACGTTCCTTATTCTCGGATCAGCGCCCATACTGATTAGCATTGAGTCTATGCTTTGCTGGAGCGGTCTCTCTCTCCTTTTCAGCCACTTTATATATTGTGACTCCTGGGGGCTGTTTCTCGAAACCGTCATAACTACAAGATCAACGACATCTCGCCACTGTCACGCAAATTGTCAGCTAAGTGTTTCATGAAGCCGTCTTTGCCAAGATGAGCGACAACTTCCGCGACAATGAGTTGTCACTGCTCCGAACCCGTCATATCTTTTTAATTGCTGTAAAGCACCATTACAAGTAACCCTGTAAGTTGGGGCTCTGATCAGATCGAAAGATCGGAGCGACACCCTCACACCTATGATCGGTATCGGATCGGAAGATCAACAACAAAAATCGGCCGATTTTTTTTTTTTTTTTTTTTTTTTAAATGACGAAAATTTTCAAGTTTTGGGCTATCAAATGCTCAAAAAAAATTAATGGCTGGAATTATTTTGTCATTTGGAATTGTTGTAGACCATGTTTGTTGATATTTGGTGCCTTTTCATGACTTTGAAATTAGTAATATTGGTCTAAGAGCAGAGGCAAAATATGCGGTCCGCCATCTTGGATTATAATGTAGGTATTTTTTTTTTGCCAATTTTTTTCCGATCATTTCAATTGATCGGCGATCAGAAATTATTTTCCGATCACCCCTGATCGGATCGGTATCGGGGGCCGATCCGATGATCATTTACAGGTATGCTATAAATGATGAAATAATGAAATATAGCTTCTTGAAAAGACTTGATGCAAAATGACTAGTCCATTGGTCCAAAGTCAACATTGAAGCTCATCTGGTTGAAATTTTAGGTGTTTTTTTCACAACAATGCAACCCTTTTTCTAACCGTGTGTAAGTACGGCGGCCGAGAAGTGGAGGTATTGATAGTAACTAATTAGTGCATTAACTATTCTATTTCCAGGCTATTTTTTGTCTTTTTATGAATTGGTTTGAAACCCAAATAACATTTTTTTTCTCTCTCTCTCTCTCTCTCTCTCTCTCTCTTGTTTATTATTAAGAGGGTATGTGAATGATCATCATTCAATTTGATGAATATTTTCTGTTGAATTCAAAGGCAAAAATAGAAGTCTTTATGATTGGAAATTGTCCGGACACCCAACCCTCATCATACTAAATATATTACTTACCAGTTACCAACATGAAAAATGAAGAAAAAAACCCAAAATATTTATATTGTGCAAATCTATGAATGACTGAAATTACTGATCCAGCTAGCCAGATATGACAGCACTACCATATCATCGAGAGTACAAAATAGGAATGGCATTAATTCAAGTGCCGCAGCGGGCTGAAAGCGGACTGCTAGCAAGACATTTGTCTTGGCAATATTGATATTGACAAGATATAAAGCAAAGTGGTGTTATCTTTTTGTTCCATTTTTCGTCTCATTTAAACTACAGATTGCACTTCTGAAACTCTCATTTCTTCCAACAAGCAGCAGTCAACCAAGCCAGAAAGAATTATTAATAGCAAGTAAGTTGAAAGATCTCCCATTAAATCTCTACATCCTATTGGAAGTTTACAGCGAGAGGTCCTAAAGCTGAGAAGTGCTTAAAGTATGTCTCCCGTGCAGGTGCACTAAATGTTGTAACTCTTTATTGTATTTAGAAAGTTTAAGTCAACTGTAATATGAAGATTAAGGAACATGGGAAAGATTCAAGAATTTCTCTTGTATTATATGTGGTTTTCATCTGTATGTAAGATCTTAATGACTACCCCAGTCCAGTTAAATTTTAAACTTGCCAGTTGCCTGAATAAGGCTTCTCGAATGCTAGCTTTGATGAGATTTGATGGAAAAAAGAAATTTAAGAAGAGCTGTAGTTTAGAAAATAGGAGAAATAGTTCAACTGTCTTAACAGTTTGCTCCCTAATTGTTTTTATTTCTAATTATTACTTCCTCTTCTCTCTTTGCTATGATAGGAGAGGTTCTAGAGATTGGTGTTAAATGGAGTGTGAGCAAGAGAGATGTCCAATCATTTGAGAGATACATAGCACAACTAAAGCCGTACTATTTTGACTTCAGGTGAGTTAAAAGAAGCGACTAGAAATTTGGTTAAAGAACCAGAATATGTATATATATATATATATATATATATATATATATATATGAAGGTATAATTTGACAGCAAAAGTGAAATATCACAATACATTTGTTAATTTTATGATTATTTTAAGTCCTATTATGTTTGGATTGTGAGGAAATCATGTTTTGTTCTCAATTTTTCTCATATTTCTTTGGAGATTGTTCTTACTGTTTTTTTCATTTTCTCCTTTTTATTGTACATTGAAAAACAGTTACAGCAGCTGACATAAGTGATGAGACCTTTAAACCAAATATCCTATGTAACTTAAAAGGAGTTCAGGTTCACTAACAGAATGTCTCCTCTTTTGGCTCTTGATTTTTCTTCTCTATAGTGCTGCTGCTGCTTATAAAGCTGTTTCAATATTGCAACTTCTTATTTCATTTTCTCATGTTCTAATAATAATGATGTGACATGTTCTTTTTCTGTAGGGAAAGCATGCCAGTTTCACCATACAGATATGAACTACTTGGACTAAATCTCCTGAGATTATTGTCTCAGAACAGACTGGCTGAGTTTCACACTGTGAGCATCTATTTCACATTTTTTAATTTTAAAGATCATAATCGTTCATGTTATGAATACAATTACATTTTATTGTACATTATCTTCTGTGTTTTTATTATTGTATAATGGTACACTATTGTTATTGTTGGAAATGTTCTACTTTGTATCAAGATGAAAATTAATTTTTTGTTCTAAAGTCTTAATTTTTATAGCCAAGCAGATATTGACATGTATGGTTGTAATTCTTTATGTCATTTATTTTTTCCTATAGGAGCTTGAGTTGTTGCCTGCTAAGGATCTTCAGAGTAATATCTACATCAAACATCCCGTATCAATAGAACAGTACCTCATGGAAGGCAGCTATAACAAGGTAAACATATAGTTTGTATTCTTCTCCCACCCAAACCTATGCTTTGAGAGTTGCTACATGAGCAGCCTTAACAGTGATGATTGGGCAAAAGTTGTATTTCGGCTTTTGTTCTTAATCGGTTTAAATCAAGATATCACCAGTAAGTCATGATAATGGGAGAAGCCATCATTTATTTTTTGTTAGCTTTGTTTGGACAAAATAAAGTTTATTACATTGTAAACATAGCCTCTGCCAGCACCTGTGTATTAAGCATTTCAACTTCATTTTTGCAAAATCAGTTGATAATAATAATAATCCGTTTTTGTATATAGCGCTCTATACACCGATCCAACGATGTGCCTAAGCACTTTACAGATATATTATTACCCCTGTCATCGGATTCAGGCTTACCTTCACACAATGTGTGCACATTTTCCACTCCCTGGGGAGCTTTTTGATTTTGATGAAAATCCAATAGTTTCATGAACACACACCAAACTGAAGCATCTCAGTTGAGAATACCCTAAACTCTTAAGTCTTTATTGGGAAGCCTCAAACTTAAAGGTATAGACCAGTTTTGGAAACGCCCCCCTCTCAAAAAAATGAAATGGAAGCTCTTATGACCAATCATGTGAAAGAATATGTTTTGACTTATATGTGATGATACAAATTTTGCCGGGAAACCACTTACTAATTGATGTATTTGGTAAATTATCATATCAATCCGGCCTGGATAGATATCGGAAATGCACTTCAACATTGAACATTTCGGCATATATTTCTGCTTTTTTCTTAAGGATTGCCATCTAAACCTCTGTAGGCAATATTTAAACGACATTGAATGGATATTTTGCACCCCAAACCCTTGAACCGCAACCTTACCACTACCAGTATTTACCTTTAAGAGTCCTAATTCAGAATTCCTCAAATTCAAGCATCTCAACTGAGAAACCTATCAAGTTTCCCCAACGTCATCATGTTCCAACATTTCATCCTCATGCAGGTATTCCTGGCCAAGGGCAATGTGCCTGCAGACAGCTATAGAGTCTTCATGGACATCCTACTGGAGACGATCAGAAAGGAGATAGCAGCGTGTGTTGAGAAGGCTTACACCAAGATCTCATTCCAAGAAGGAGCTAGACTTCTCTTCCTATCATCATTACCTGAGGTCAAAGCATTTGCAAAAGAGGTGAGATCTCATTTGAAATGTTCTATGTATGCTACACTCTTTCATAGTCTTTTACATCTCCAGTTTGGAATTCTAATTAAGAATGCAAGTCATTTGGGACTTAGTGTTGATATTGTCAGTTGACTTGAAATATGTTTCTTCTTTTTTGTTTACAGTATAGCTTGAATAATTTTGAAGAAAATATTCTTAATTAAACCATGAAAGTTGAGTTTTGTATTAAATGTTCTTAAAAGCTTTTTGTCAAGTTTTGATATTTTGTAGGTTTTAAATTCCTTTGTGTCAAGTCAATATTCCCATACAAATTTCACTCTCATAATTCCAGGCGTGTTGAAATGACTTAAGTTCTATAACATTTGTTTCATTCTCTCTCCCCTTTTTCTTGCTGTCTCTTTACTTTATCCTCTGCTCAAATCTTGCCACTTGCCTGTCCCTGTCTCTGTCCTCAATGTCCTATATCTGATCAACATATCATCTCTCTCTCTCTCTCTCTCTCTCTCTCTTTCTCTCTCTCCTTTTCTCTCTCCCTCTCTCCATATTCTGTTGCATCTTGCAGAGGGGCTGGGAGCTTGGAAGTGACAACTGCTTTCAATTCCAGGAGGAGAAGAAGACTGATGACGCGATCCCATCTTATGAATTAGCACTGCAGGCCATAGACTACGCCAAGGAGTTGGAGATGATAGTATAACAGGGCCAGCACTCTTGTACAGTGTATTTATATTGTAAAATGTTAAAGTCAAACACACATTTCTGTGTAACAGAAATCACCAATTTGTAACATGATACATCATCTTTTATGTTATGTCATGTGCCTGCTCAGTTAAAACCCCAATTTACCTCTCTCCTGCCAACTATCTCTCCGTAATGTTAAAAAGAAATAGGATTTCCTTTTGTATTATGAAATGAAACCTTCCATGCTCCCAATATAGATTTGCAATGCTGGACGTTGTAGCCTTGCTGAAAACACAAGTCTGCGTACATTCATACAAAGGTATTGTCTAATTGTTAGTACACACACATTGTAAATTCACATACCCGTTGTGAGGCAAACCATTGTTGCAATTAATATTGCGATAAAAACAAAACAATAGCTTTATATAGATGGACATACTATATTTTCATCAAAGTTATGGGTCTCTAGTATCATTAGCAAAATTGAATGCTTTTGTTCATTGTCTTAAAATACATTTTTTCAATAAACATCAAAAGAGTACTTTTTGCGCCAGTTACTTGTTTTCATGTTTTTTTTTCTATGTCATAATAGTAAGTGTAAATTAATTTTGTTTGTGGACCCTATAAAAATGGGACAGTCCAGTAATAGATGGTTTCTAATACTGTTAAACATTAAACAAGGTACAAGTTAATCATAAATGATTTGAAGAATGTTGAAATCTTTGTAAGTCAGATATCTACTTAATTTGTATGATGATTTGAAGCAGAAAAAGTTTAACACATTCTCTTGGTGGTATCGGGTAAATTGATTCATTTCCATGAATCTGTTTTTTCTGTTAACTTGAATTATGAGTAGAATTCCTCCCAGATTCATGCAACACACTTTTTTAACAAGCAAGAAAATATGCAATTGATGATGGATTTTTCAGATACGCATATCTCTTGAGTTTGATAAAAGTTTATGTATTATGTAGAAAATGCATTTGCTACAGTGAATATTTCACTGACATTTTACAAGCAGAAGTATTACATCTGCTTTTCTTGCCTGTGATAGCATTCAAAATAAAAGTGGTATGTGAATCTTATATCAGAGATACTTGTTTTCAGACAAAGATATTTACTTGAAATTTGGCTTTCTCACTTGAGACCAGTTTTATGATTCTGCATATTTATGTGAAGTCCATCACACAAAAGCCAAAATTTGATGTATAACATGTCATGAAAATATCTCCTTTTTAAAGAGTTGTGATGTTCACTTGTGGAATCTACCTGCATCTGTAGAGTACCAATTTTATACTGATTACTAATTCTCTTTTTCCTTTCAAAATACCACTTTCTTGGAAGGTTTCTGTAAAGCAGGCATATTTTGTTCATCTTATTTTTTGTACACGTTTTAATTTTTGTTCTTGTACATGAAATAAATTACAATGGAATGTTAAGACAGACTGATCTTTTCCTCATGTATTTTACTTATCAGGAATGCGTTGATTTATTTATTACACGACCATAATTCTGTAACCGAATAGACATGTATTTTTTTCCCTTCATTTTGTTACAGAATTACAGTAATTTGTACAAGATAGGTTAACAATCTGGGCCCCATTTCATAGAAACTTGTTATGAATAACAAATGCTAACATTCTATCACAAATTTGCTCTTGGCCAATCAAATGCCACAATTTCAGTAGCTTACAACAGTATTGTAACATGTTAGTTATCAATATTAAGTTTTATGAAATGGGTCCCTGTACTTCATATATGGGTGAACCAGATTCAGCCAGGTTAAAATCTTGCTGGTAGTCCACTTTATTGAATGCAGGCTAAATATGTTTAATAACATTGAAATAACCAACTGAATCCCAACCTATGTCCCAAAAGGGCTCCAATAAAATCTGACACAATATTTTGAATCAACACCAAAAGATCATGAGACAACAATTCCCTGGGGTACCATAAAGAAAATTATATAACAAAAGAACTCCATGCTTAGTACAGAAAAAACAAAATCACAAAGATTTCATGTACAGAAATTTAATGTCTTACAATGTACAAACAAAAATGTGACAAACAATATTATACCCTACCTCGAGAAACTGGAATACAACACAAATTATACATGTGTTTTGTTAATAACTCAATCTTAAGTATTCAAGACAATGGCATTTATTCACATCATAAGTTTATCAAAATGTTCAACCATCATAATGGAAACTATAACAATTCTGGAAATTACAATTGGCATAAATTCAGCAAGAAATGAGTAACAGAGCGCTCCTTATTGTTCCCCCTTCCCCCCCCCCCCCCAAAAAAAAAGAGGTATATGTGAGTGTTTTCACATCTGGGCCAGTTGCATAAAAGTTACCATCAATGGCAACTACCATGGTAACAGGGCTCAACAGCCAATGAAAATCAAGGTTTCCATGGTAGTTAACATTGATGGCAAAGTTACCGTCAATGGTAAGTTTTGTGCAATGGGCCCTGCCTGGTACCATGATCTTTGCCACATGCATCTTTTAGAAAATGGGCAATTTACTGATCTCAAATTCAGAAGGAAACTCCCATTTTACATGATGCACTTCGGTATCTCTTTGACACATCAGATCAGTACAATATCCTACAAACTTCCATTGACTTGTAGCTTTCAAATACTTTTCAACATGCATTAACTTGTTGAATGTTGTTACACCAAAATTTAAGTGTTTTTTTTTTTTTTTTATTACTGGCTAGAAATATCAGTGATCACTTTTATTCTTTTACAAAAAATCATATCTCTGTTTAAATCATTGAGGGGATAAAAATAAAAGCAAAATTATACCAGTAAAGAATATTTGCAAAATTCATGCAATTTTACAAATGCTTTCAAATAAATTGACTATTACACGCGAAAATGAGTAATTCATATCTCAAGGATACAGTACTCCTGCTAGCATATATAAAGACCACTTGCCTATAGAGACCAAGTTGAGCAGTGTTTTTCTAGAAAAAGGTAATGTGTGGTCTTCATGCACTGGTCAGCATAAACACATATGATAACCTGTCTTCAGGTGCAGAGGATTTTATTTGAGATGGCGATCACATGAAAAATAAGATTTGGGAATAGTTTCCTGTGAATAGATCATGAAATGTCCCTAAAAGGGCTACAATGGTGGCATCTTGCAACCAAATCTGCATATGCATCTTCAGAGTAGAACCTATCGTTGAGTGGAAGAATAAGTTTGGGCTTTTTTTAAAATATCATCTGTTTGGAGCCAGAGGAACATTAACTCTGTTTGAGTGTATAACTACATGACCCTGCAGCTCTAAACAGACAAGACATCCTCTCAACTCTTGATCTCCTGTATGCTGTTTACCAGCTATAACTAATTGGAATTAATATACGATAGTCTAGCATACCATCACATTAGATTGGGTGAATTTATACTACTTCTTGCGAACTATTATACAGGTTTGTAGTCTAGTTTTGTTTCCAGTTTCTTGTTATCCGAGACTTTCCTGACGGCTTTCATGAAGTCCTCGTCGACCACGTACTCTCGTTCCGCTCTGATGGCAAACATACCTGAAAGAGAAAACACATTGAAAGACTGAATGTAACAAGGTCATGTGACTTTCAAGGTCAGGTGAAATTTTAGGTTACGTTGTCTTTTCTCGGAATGATGAAATATTCTTCTATGGTATCTGGATGACTGAAAAAAGTAATGAAAGCCACTTGATTTAAATATTTTCTGTCCAACATCAACAATGCAATTTGTGGCCAATACGTGTCCTAGATTTTCTATCGGGCAAATTAGTTTGTAGATGGACTGGTGCATAGCCCTTGTACTAATAACCGCAGTTTCTTTAAAGTTGTCTGCCTGCCAGAAAGACATAAGCTGGGGTTTCTATTACACTCAACTAATAGAATGCCCCTGCTAAGACCCTTCTGTCAGGCAATGGATAAAATCAAATCAAATAAAATGGATTCATAGATATTAAAACAGAATCCACGTTTTTTTTAATATCATAAATTAACAAGTACATACAAAAGAAGAATAAAAACAAGATGGACATTGATAACACGATATTTACCTGCTTCTGTACACACATTCCTGAGATCTGCACCGTTGAATCCATCTGATAATTTTACCACAGCTTCATAATCTATCAAAGAAAAATATAACATAAAGATGTTTGAAGTGATCAAAGGTAGACAATGAAAATGTTGAGGAATGACTGAAAGTGGTTTACAGTAAAAAAAAAAAAAAAAAAAAAATAATAATAATAATAAAATATACATATATTAAACAAAATAAAATAAAATAAAACAATGACAAATGAAGAAAAAAAAGAACAAAAAATGACAAGCTTGAATTTGTCAATATCATTACTATAAGAGATTTCAGGGTGGGGGAAAGATGAAACAAACACCTTTCAATATCTACACTGGAATCCATGAAAATCATGATCATTTACCTGCAATTACAGTGGATTAAAGTAGCGGCACATTTATGTTTGGTATTATCATTACTGTGTAAAGCAAGTAATTATGAGTCTCCAATCACCTACAAGTAAATTCAATCATCCACCTTTTCTTTCATTTTTCAAGTTTATTTTTCACACATAATAGATAACAATTAAAATATATATATATACAAATATACAAGTACAAACACGTAGACATTAATATGCACTAATAAATGTAACAAAAGTTAGAAAAAGGGGAAACAGTTGATTAAATTTAAAGTTATAATGATATCATCTACTGGCTAAACAGCTCCCCAGGCATTTGTACCATAGCTTTCAGCTAAATTCAGCTGCACTACAATAAGTAAAATGAGGAAAATTATCAATAATTTTTATATGGACATCAAAACAGACTTTTCAAGTGATAAAAAGGGCTACTGCTACCATTTGACTGAAATGTGACCATATCTGTATTTCATGAACTGGGATTGGAGAAGATGATGAGCAATGAGAATTGAAGACGTGCCATACCTATATCTCCATGCTTGGTGATGGGAGCTGCATGGATCTTCAGAATCTCTAGCCTGGCTTGCTCATTGGGAAGTGGGATTTCTAGAATAGAAGAGAAATAACCATACTCATTAAACATTCACTTAACATTAATCCTAATCATAAGCTAAAAACAGGTAAACTGTTATATTATTAATGACTGTTAAAGAGGATCGATCAGCTATATAAATGATTTGAGTACAGTCAGTATGTAATAAATTTGACATCAAATCCATTATCTGACTTTTCCAAGGGTAAATGGTTACAAAGTATAGATAAAAATAAAGGATAAATGATTTGTGCAAGGAACCCAAGCCTCATTAATTTTTCATAACTATGACATCACCATATCAGAACATGCAAGTTTCTTTCATCTATAGCTTACCAATCTTTCTGTCAAGTCTACCAGGCCTGAGTAGAGCTGGATCTAACGTATCAGGTCTGTTGGTCGCCATGATGATCTTCACTTTACCAAGAGTGTCAAATCCATCCATCTGGTTTAACAGCTGTGAAGATGAATGACAGTAACATTGATATGTGAAGTCATGAAGTCATAATCGTGTTTGTCATTTTGGCTGGATAGTTTTTTAATATTCATTTGACTCCCTTTACAGAAACATTGCAACATGTTGTAGAATCACTTATGAGTAACAAGACATATACATGTACTAAAACCCATTTTACTGATTGTATTCATTATTTTTCTGAAAGGTCACCAAGGCTTTTTATTTTTCGGCCATTCAAAGGAAGATGTCTGATTTGCTAACAACTACATTTCTTTTTCTTTGATTCAAATTTACATTTGTTTTGTTAATCTGATAGGAATATTTTATTTTGGAATAACATGCTATTTCAACAAACTTTAGCCTGGGATATCTCAGCCTAAGAACTCAACTCAAGTTAAATAATATAACACATCTTGAACACCTCTAGAGTTGGACATGTGTCCTTTGATTATATGACCATCATCATTATATTCTGTCCAACTGTTTGTGGAACAAGTCATTTTTAAATGTTTAAAATGCAAACATACATAGATACCCCTCATATTACAATGTTTAATTTTACTTTGTGCTCGTGGATGGTAATGTCATGGTTAGTATACAGTACATAATAGAGTACCAAAGTGCTAACGTAATACTCCAAACAAAAGGGCCTGCACTCGAGGTTCATTTGAAACCATTCAAGCAACGGCTGTAGTAGGGCGAGTTCAGTGTTTGGCGCCTGTGTGATCACCACGCCATTGTTTAGCACGCCATTGTTTGGAACCAGCAACTTTGACAACTTGGGCAATTATAGACGTCACACTTCAGTGCATTGATAAGATACCAAACGATAGACCTACCTCCATCAAGGTCCTCTGGATCTCCCTATCGGCCGATGTGCCTTCTGAGAATCTCCTGCCTCCGATAGCATCGATTTCATCCATGAAGACAACACAAGGTTCATGGTCCCTAGCGTAGGCAAACATCTCTCTGATCAGACGGGCGCTCTCACCAATGTACTTGTCTACTATAGCACTGGAAACAACCTGATAACGAGAAAAGAGACAACTTCAAATTATCCAATGAATCAAACAAGAAAACACCTTGAAATTACATATGCAAAGAGAAATACCATTATGTTAATGAATTCCATGTTGAAAATTGGCACAGAAATAAAGGGAAATACAGTTATCAACCCAAAATATTTTGTTATATAAAAATAAATTTTGTTACACAAAAAATTGTGCAGAGTATACTAAAAACAAATTATGTATGGGATACTTCACTACACATAATTGTTGACTTATGATCACAATGCCAGGTAAAAACTTGTTTATTTTCTTTCCAACCACGAAATTCAGTGATGCAGAAATCTGTGCTTTATAGAATTTAGATATTTTGGGGAGAGAATGTTGCCACAACTAAAATCACCCTGTATTACACAAATGGTCTGTACCTTGAGGAAATTTGCATCCAGCTGACTGGCCACTGCTCTGGCAAGCAAGGTCTTCCCAGTACCTGAAATAAAGCAACAATTAGAGAGCATGATATATCATTTGAAATCTTAGCAAATATGTGAATGTGTTCTGGTATGTCACAGTTCATGCGACTATGTTTAACTTTAGTTAGTTTCATATGCATCTGATTAGAATACATTACAATTGGATTTCCTCATCACTATTCAATAAACAAATACTCAATACCTCAATATGTTAGCATTTATGGTAACAAAAGATCCTCATATCGTTTTATTCTTCTACAAAAAATTAAGAATCAAATTATGTTTGATTGTGATGGGTCATGTATATGATTTTCTAATTGTGTACTTATAGAAAAGGAGGCGATGATGATGAAAATTATGCCATTTCCTGATATAGACACACTAATTGGCAAGTGGAAATGTGTACTCTTTTCATGCATTTTGATAGTACTACAAATGATCAGAATAAATTAGAAAAAGAAAGAAAGAAAGAATGAGGAAAAGTTGTTTACCTGGTGCTCCATACAAGAGACAGCCTTTGGGCGGTGTGATACCAACTCTCTCAAACAGTTCTGGATTCAACAACGGCAGTTCAATCACCTAAAATAAATTGAAGACAGCAGAACAGACGACAATTCATAAAACAAACTGATTCTACAGGTAGGGGAAACATAGGTTTACATTAACCCTATTTTAACTGGGCTATTTCAGACCAGGTTTTTACTGGGGGGGGGGGGGGTCAATTTGACCCCCCCCCCCCCTAAGATCTCAGCCGTTTCACCGCCGATCGCCGCGAAAATTTGCATGCATGTCAAGTGAAGTGTATAGAATACTATGGTAATTTCAAATTTTTGAAAAATTCACTCATTTGCATATTTATGGTAATTTATGCAAATAAGGTCATGAAATTCACATTTCGGCCCATAAATCACAGATTATTCATATTTAAGTATTCTTTTTCACTACATATATTTATTAGACCATTTGGAATAATAATACAACACAAAAAATTGGAAGAGCCAGGTTATTCCTTATGTTATCTCTTGTTTTTATAATTTCTTATGTATTTCATTGTTTTTTTAACTTATGTATTTTATTGTTTTTGTTGTTTTATTTCATTTATAACTACAATTCAACTATTTTGACCTCAAAACAAACATCTAAACTTTAAACAAGACTGAATTACCAATGTTTTATCTATTTTTAGGAAAAATGACTTTTACATATGTTTTGTACACAAATCAAGAAAATGAGCGATTTTCGGGCTGACATGCAAAGACAAAAGGTCACGCGACCTTGTAACCGTAGGTCCGATTTTCAAAAAAATTGTTTTAAAAGATGCGTAAGACTCGAAAGTAAAAAGTCATGAGAGGAAAATTTTACATCTGCCGCGGTTTCGGAGTAGTCGCAAATTTTTTACAGGGGGGGGTCAAATTGACTCCCCCCCCCCCAGTTAACGTAGGGTTAAGGCTGTGCATAACTGTGTAATGAGGTACTCGAGTACACTCCCAGGATTACAGGCGAATACTCGGTCGCCACGTTTTTAAAAAAAAAGGAAGCACTATCCCAGGTCCGTCTCTGAAAACTCACACAATTTTACTTCGAGTTGCAGTTGAAGGCCCCAATAATAATAATAATAATAATAATAAAAGTAAACAATGCTGTTTTAAAAACCCGGGAGCACTGGGCATGGGTAAGCGTCGGCCTGGACAGTGCCAGGTGAATGGGCGGAAGAAAAAAAAAAAAAAAAATGGCGGCCAAGTACAAGAAATCAATACATTTTTTCCCCCCACACTTAAAAATGAAAGATAGCATACCCAGTCTTCGAATATATTCACAATCTTCAAACAGAAAGACAGCTGCAGTTTATGATTCAAAGGTTTTGTAGTCAGACATTAACTAGTCACATTATCAATCTTAAACATTCCACTGTTGCTGAACCTACCTCTCTGAGTTCTCTGATCTGTTCTGCTAGACCACCGATGGCAGAGTAGGAGATATCACCAGGGTCTTCATGTGACATGTGATATACCATAGGATCAACCTCCCTTGGTAGATACCTGTGCAGTTACAACAAGTTTATGAAACATGTGAAATCATCTATACCGGTACTGCATAATTGAACTTCTCTACTTCGTGTAAACAGACATATTTTTTATCCTATGTGATTCTGTTTTTTCAGAACAGTGAACTTTGAGACTAGACAGCTTCTCAAACATTTGTTTCTGATTTGACCTATGCCACAATTTTAAATAAAGTTTTGATAAGAATAAGAAAAAGAAAATGCCAGATGATGGTTATTCATGAAATGTATGGCAAACACATGATGACCACTTATTATTTATTTTAATGTAACAAAACTAAACCTAAAACTAAAACAACAAACAACAAAAGAGACAAATACAAATATTTCAATACATAACACATTCTATTGAAAGTCCTACATAAATGATTTGTGTGTTAGTTACCAACATTTAAGAACTTTACATTAATTAATTAATTGCATTACATTGCCTTAAAAACCTCACTTTCAAATTAATCTTTTCTTATCAGTGCTGATAATAACTTTCTTTCACATCAATGACAAAGAACCCCGAATAACCAAAGCTCTAGAATGCATACAGGGAGTTAAAGAATGATTTCATCAGTAACACTTGACTGTACAGTTTGTCTCACCTCATAATAGTCAATGTTGTCATATCTAGAGCTACCCTGGTACCCTGCTTGAGCTTGGTTTTATCCAGACCTCGTCTGCAGCCTACTACATAGCGAGGTCCGTTCGTTGCCTTCACGATGACTGGTAAGGAAAGGGTAATAAAGAAATGATGGTATCAAAATGTTTGCAAAATAATGCAATGTAAGCAATATCTTTTTGAAGTGACTACTACATTAACTTTCTAGTTAGTGAAGAGTGAACCTTACAAGGAAATGGACAGAGAGTAATAGTATGAACAAAGGTCAATACAATAAGCAGAAAGAATGCCAAACAGAAAGTATTGAATTAACAGGTATGTGGATAGAATAATAGACACCAGTTAACCAGTGAACATTTATACAAGTATAAAAATAGGAATGGATAATAATAATAATAATAATACATTATATTTATATAGCGCTTATTACAATGTTCCTAAGCGCTTTACAAAGTTGTACTTAGATAATAATACATTCAATAACTATAATTAATATATACTAATCAATCTACAATTAATTCAAAATACATACATAAGCACATATACATCTAGTCAATACATATAGATACATGTACCAATACCAAAGCTGATATTGTTAAGATTCATGAGTTACCATCATAATGAATATATTGGGCTACATATAAATGTCATTTGCCAACAACTGAAAACAAATAAAAAATGTTTAGTTTAGATGTTGATGACCGTTGACCTTTGTTTGTATCGCTCTTTCCTGTAACTTATGCATGATCCTTCAATCCACACATACAGTGGCTGCTGTTATGTCCAACGATTTATGAAACAACCCTTGCATTGAACTCATCCTATTGTTTTAGGACATGAATAAAGAGATTTCATACTTACATTTTTCTTCAGTCAGCTGCTTTAGGACCTCTCCCACAATCTGCAATTAATAATGGAAATTGATGTATCATGAACTTTATGATTCAAGTACATGTACAAGTCATACCCGAATATAATACATAATAAAACACAATTTATTCATTGAACCCCACAATATAAAGCCCTGGTCATGATCCTACACTTATATAGGATCATTATATCAATCCCTCCTTCTGCTAAAGGATATAAATCATCAAATATTATTTTGTTTCAGATGTTTGGGGTTCCATATTCAACTTTCTGCAGTACTTCTGTAGAGAGAAATTGCCAGTTTTAAATACCAAACTTACATCATTAAAGCAAATTGTAAGATGAAAAGTCAGCACATATGCTTTGGCAAACAAAGAAGACAACTACGAGTTAACCGACCATGACATGCAGGTCGAAATTATTATTTCCCCCTTTTATACTCCTAATTATTCACCATTTGAATGGCTCATATTCTCAAAGTTATTCATTTCTTTGTATTACTTTTTCTAAGGGGGAGGGGGTAGTTCTGATTAATCCCTTTTGATCTTGTGCCTGTCTGTATCCCCCTCCACCGTCTCTTTTGTAGGAAAGTATTGAGGCTATAATTACCTGACCAACACTCTGGAGAGCCTTGAGATCATTTTCAGACTTGTCATACTTCTTGGTCAGCTCCTTCAGATGCTCTCTCACTGCATTTCATGAAACAAAGGAGAAAGAGGCATGATGAAAATGAACACAACTCCCTTTATAATGAATAAATTATTGGTTACTTACTTGTCTGAACTTACATGGAAAATTATGCCAAAATTAAAATGTGATAAAAACAAAAATAGAATCCTCCTACAATAGTTGTATCTTCTTGTCATTATAATATTTTATCGACTAAAAAAATAATTTCTAGTTCAAGCAGTTGTATTATATAACTGAAAGGATAGCCATAATTTTCAGAATGTTGTGTTTTCCATTTTAGCTGTGTAAAGCAGTAGCTCATATATAATATACAAATAACGCACGTCCCAGAGTGCAATAGCGGTGAATGAGTTGACAGTGCGAACCATCTGAAGAAACCGAGCGAACACTGCATTTACGTTTCGCACAACAGGGTCAAGTGCGTTATTTGTTTTATAAAATAGCGACACAAACAGCAACAAACAAAAGTTTAGATCTTAAGTACCAGAGTTCGATCTAGATCTAACGTTAGAGTTATTTTGGTTCTAGAAATAAAATGAGGGTCTAAGAAAGACCTTGCAGGCTTACCAAAAAGTCCACGGGATTCATTGTTTGATTAAAAATAAAATGCATAGGGTGTCTAGAGACGAGTCTACATCAGACAGCTGAAATTCCTGGCTTCATTATAAAATCCAAAAGTCAAAACGGGTCTTAATCCAAGGCAAAAGTAAAACAAAAATTTGCTTTCTAATAATACCCCGCTCTAGCTCTAGCTAACAGTTAGAGCTAAGCTACGCGTACGCTGCGCTGGGGATCATGGTGGATCTTGGAGCGTACAATATTAGCTACGCGTAGCCTATAGCCTGCATGTACAATGCATATGCACTCGAGGGAGCGTACTAGTACTACGCGTACGCGCGCGCACTGGATCTCCATGGTCACGCGTACGTGCCGTGCAATATAACTTTTTGCTGCGCTTTTTCTGCACTCATTGCTGCAAAATCGTGCTTGCATCAAAAATTTGTCAATGCCATGTGACGCGTATTGACCAATCACGATGCTTAAAATACTAGAGCCATTTTATAATATGCAATAATAGTTGAGTGCACTGCCCTGTATGCATGGTAAGGAAAATGATTAACAGAAAAGAACATGTTATTGTTAAGTCTATCTATTAATTAATGTCTTATTATTATTTGAAATTCATGATATATTGATCCAGGGCGCGACAAACCCGCTTGCCCGACGTCCCGGGGCAACCAAATTGAGCCGTCGGGCAAGTAAATCAAATTATCACTTGCCCGATTCGGGCAAGTGATACTTTTACAGTAATTTCCTAGTGTCCAAGAACTCTACCATTCACCCGTCAACTTCTTACCCGTCGTCAAAATCCAGAAGCAAAAAAGCGATCGTTCCGATTTCGAAAAAACTTCACAGACAGCTAGCCAGCTCAGCTAGCTCAGCGCGCATGCAACAGTGACACTTCAAGCCATGAATGCCGCTCCGCCTCCACGCACGGCCGGCCGTGAGCTAGCTAGAGACAGCTAGCGCGATCGTACCAGCTGCGAGCTTATTCGCGCTCTCTCTCTCTAGCTCTGCAGGCCGCACCGACAGGCCTTTGCTATTCTCTGATTGCCGATTGGTTGAATCACGCCAAATATGACGTCATTATTCTAGGGAAATGAACACGTGCGAATCGGAATGGAATAAACAACAGGGATTTTCTAGTAAGTACAAAAAGTCAAATGTTTGATATTTATTCATAATGACTGTTAATGATTGTGAACATATTATTTAAAACTCGCTGCTCATATAAATCAGATGAATGTTTTTGTCTCGTTTTCAATTTATTACTGCGGTCTCAAGATCCGACCGAGCGAGTCATTTTGATAATAGTATCGAGACCCCCAGAATATAAGCCGTTGTTGTTTTGTTTTCATGGTTTTAGCGACGTTGTTTAGTCTAGTTTTCGCATACTTATCCGAGATTTATCGTAAAATATCTTCAATATTATTATTTAGTAAGAATTTACAAATTTTGGCATGATATTTATAGCAGTGAATGATGAAATAAAAATGTCCGTACTTTATTTAAAATAGTTGATTACCCATTATTTACATGACGTTTCTTGATGGAAGAGTTGACCCAAATTATTAACAGCTGAAAATTAGCCTACGTTTCCAAATGACAGCGGCTTGCACAGACACACATGTGATGTTGCACCATGGTACATGTGGCTACCATTAATGACATGTTTGTATCATATTTTTTACAACAGGGTCATTATGCTTTTTTACATGACTGAATATTAAAAACTTAAACCTGCTTGAACCATTCTACCTTGCCGAGATTCATGTGAATCTGATTATTTATGGAGAATCAATAAAATGCGTTTTTTAAACCTTCAACCATCCTTTGTTGACCATTTTCTTTGACATATTAGGTTATTATTCAGTACAGTTACACTGTACATGTATGTGCATTAATTTGCTATCTAAAACACTAACTTATCATTACGAGATAATAAATGCTTTAACCTCGAGTCCTTTTTCGCTTTAAAGTTTTGGGCAAGTGGAAATATTGTTTGGGCAAGTAAATTGAAAACCCACTTGCCCGACAGGGCAAGTGGTGAAAAAAATTCTTGTAGCACCCTGTGATCTTGTGCAAAATTAAGTTTGCCAGCATTTACTACACAATACAAGCCCTAGCTTTAATTTACGTTAACTATTATGACTAAGCATGAACAAAACAAAACAAAACTACAAAATATGGTGCTCTTTTTTTAATCTACATTTTTACACACACAACACAAAAATATTCAACATGATTTTCCAGTCATATTTTTCTCTAAAAAATAATAATTTTCTGACTGACGAAAAATACCTTTAACTTCACCAACAGACCAAGGACATATACCCTTTACTTAATTTCGATAAAATGAAATTTTCAATTGAAAATAAATTGACACATGAATGATTGACAATTTAAAAAGGTGATTTTTTTTTCTTCTTCAAAATTATAATTAGACTAGACCTAATGACAAGTTGTACGACTCTTAGTCTTAAATATCTCAAAATAAAATGCACAAATTACACGATTTAACTGAGTGAGCTAATTAAACTAGATTATGAGGAGAAGACGAAGTCTAAGACTGTCTATGTCTGGGAAATTGTGAATGGTGATGTGCCGGATTTCGAACAGTGATTCGGGCTCCACCACTAATTCATGCCTAGCGGGAATCGACTTCTTCCTCCCCGACGGGTCAGCGAGAGAATACAGTCACCTGCCGCATGGAAACGAGAGATGGACCGTGACTCCGCAGAAAACAGGCTTGAACATTAATCATTCCAACGACATTTTAGAGAATAAATTAAAATAACATTTCAGTGAAAATCTCCAGTTATATACAAGTAATTGTAATGAAGCCAATGATACTCACTTTCTTTCAAACGAGCATCTAATTCCTTGTGTTCGAGCAATTTCTTGCGGTAATCTTGAATCGCTTTTTCTCTAGGATCCGCCATGATGAGATGCTGTAGATATCATTAATAGCCCGCAGAGGGCGATATCTTTTTTCTTCTTCTTCTTTTCTTTTCTTTTCTTCCGCTCTGGTCCCCCGGGTCTCATTTTCCTCTCGGGTACGGTACCCCATATAATGGCCATGTTAAATACCAACACCTTGTTTTCTTTAAAAAAATATGATAGTGTCATAAAAAAATCTCCTTCAATTTTTGTTCTTTAATTTTTGTCCTTACATCCAGTGGTGTAGCAGGAAAAGGTGCACCACCTTATTATTATTATATTTTTCTTTTTCAATATATATTTTTTTTTTGGGGGGGGGGGGGGAGCACGTACCGGTACTGCGGTTCATGGATTGCAATTATAAACGGACCGTTGATAAGGGGTGTGGAAATGAAACGTAACATCCCCTTTACATATCATTTTCCTGTCCCCCAAAATGCTTTTGCCTTAAGATTCAAGATGGGATTCGGGGACACGGGTTACAAGCATTGGGGGTCGATGTCCATGTTACCTAAATCATTTAAAATCACATTCTAGTATACATTCACGGAAGATTATAAACTTTCAGAACATGTATGGCTGTTTTTATTTATTCCATCACATTTATATAGATGTGATATTTTTGATATTTATAAATATAATTATATTGCAAATTTTTATTGCAAGATGAGACCGAATGAGGATGAATCTGTTGATCGTAATGACTTAGAGATTGGGTTTGTATACTGTATATACAGGTTTTGAAAAATAATTATGGACAATCAGTAGGCCTGTATACATTTTTAATATAATGAATAGTTTTGTACAAGATGTGGATATACAATAGAACCCATCCAGCTGCTGGGTTAGATTAACAAGTGGTGAAGTGCTTAATTCCATGTAGTGGCGTGGTGTGTATCCAGCCATTAAAGTGAACCGTTCACTATTCTGTAGACCTATTCCTTTTACTGTGCTAACCCTCTATAACATGCAACAAATCCTGATTTTTTTTTTCTCCAAACCACATAAATGTTAGTAGGGTTTTTTTTTAAAAGGCGTTTTGTGTAACTCCCTCTATCAGTAAATTCTCCCAACCATTTTTTGAATTATTCCAATCGTTTTCCCATGAAAATAAGATATAAAACAGGCTTTAACAAATATATTAACACTTAAATGTTTGGAATGGTTTAAAGAGCCAATTCATTGCTTTGTGACGATATACATTCACTTACAAATTTAATTTATTTATAATAATTTACTTGGGAAAATTTAGGGATCGATCCCATTAGTTTTTGCAAATTTGTATCATTAATAATGGTCTGTCTCACAAGCGCGGATCCAGGGGAGGGGGCCCAATTTTTTGTTTTGCTCCCTAAAATTTGAAAATCGCGCCGGTCGAAAAAGTTCACTCAGTGGGGGGGGGGGGGGGGGGGGGGGGGGGGGGAGGGGAAAGGGGGGGGGTAGTAGAGCACATTTTATTTTTTTGGCCCTCGAAAGTTTGAAATTTTGCACCCCCCCCCCCCCTTGAGCGCCAGGGGGGGGGGGGGCGGGGGCCCATCCCCCCAAAAGGTAAAATGTACGTGTTTTTACACGTTTTTTCCCCGCCCCCCCCCCCCCTGTATCCGCTACTGTTTTCTCATCTGCACAATGTTATCAAGTCCCCAAGGGGGCACTGGCTTCATGGAATGACTCTTCTCTGCCCGCTCCTCTCTACCTTGTTAATATTCTTTGTTTTCATTTTATATAAATCCTCGTACCCCACTTGGTCCAAGAATATGGTAATTAACTGCACGCCGCTCCCGCGGGCGGGCTGTATATGATTTTGGGTTAACTTTAGCAGAAATTTATGAAAATCTGCAGACATTTTCTGTTTCTCTCAGTCGCGCAGTTTGGTATATACAATTGAATATAGAAAAATGTTTATAGGCTAAATCCACTCCAAGAATAATTTTCTTTTAAACCCAATCTGCACTAGTTTGGCCAGGGGGGATTAGACCTCTCTGCATGGTCACTGACAGGTGGCTTATCTTATCAAATCAGCTCTCAATTATTTAACATAAAATAAAGGGACCATGCATGGAGGACCAATGTTCACCGATTAGGCATTGTTTGCTATATAGAGGGCGCAAGTAGCGATAAGTAATGCAGTTGGGCTTTAATAGATAGTGAGGCATTTGGAACAAATTAAGGTCAGTTTGTTTGTTTGTTTTGTTTGTTTTACATGACTTCTAAGAAAGCATGAACAAACAAAGGCCTCGTCTTTTAATGTATCAAACATTACATTTCGGAATACAATTTCGACTTTCTTTAAAATAGTCAATTTAGCTGTAATTTTAATGAGGATAACATAGATTTTGTTAATGACGGAATTTTCTTCCTAAAAAGTAGGCCTATAATATTTATAAACAATTTTCTAAATATCTTGAATTTGAATGTGAATTAGCGCCCTCTTTCAACGCATTTTAAATGCATGGTTATAATGGTTGAGCTGATGATGGCTGATGTTCATGTTTTTGTTTGCAACTAACTTAAATTATTACGTTTTTAAAAACGGAATACGTGGCCCGAAAAGGAGATCTAGAGAGAGAGAAAAATAAAGAAGAGTAAAAACAACGGTTTGGGGGCAAACTTACAATGCTATAACCGGCTACAACGCATTGCCTAAAATGAAAAGTCGACAAGAAAGTTACGTTGAACAGCAGTTGAAATCTGTAATGATTGAATTCAATGAAAAATAAGGATCTTATAAAGTTGATAAATTGATCATTTCACTCAATTGTGATCCAATCATTGTAACGACTATCCAAAAATATTGCCCCCACTAAAGGATGAATATTGAGAGGCAGACCGTCGCAAGGAAAAATAATAGCCTATCCCCTTCTTTGAAAAAAACCCAGAGATATTAAAGTAAAACTTTCTGCGGTATCTGTTCTGTACGAAAGTGTTAAAGAGCCATTCTACTTGGCAAGATATTTCATCTTGTCAAGTCGACTTAATATCCATATTATGTCGACATAGAAAGATACTTAACTTGCCATGTCGACTTATAAACTTTTACAAGTCGACATAGCGACATATAGTTCTCGGCATATAAGTTATCTTGCCAAGTCGACTTCCTAAAAGTTCATGTCGTCAGGGCGACATAAGTTCTTGCCAAGTCGACTTTGCACAAAGTTCATGTCGCGATGGCAAGATATTTTATGTCGCCATGTCGACTTACTAAAAGTTGATAAGTCGACATGGCAAGATGAAATATCTTTACAAGTCGACTTGACAAGATGAAATATCTTGCCATGTCGCCAGTAGAATCCGGGCACGCTTCCGTAGTTTCTTCCATAATTATAAACGATTATTATGTCGTACCTTTTGTATGTGCGTTTAGGCTATACAGTGAACGAAGAGATGGTAAACAATTTTATCAAATCATTTTGCCAAGTTGAGATTTCCACAAAGTCCATTAAAAGGTCTTGAATTTCATGAGATTTCTGATGCTTTCATTAATGCGTACTCTTTTAGTTTGTCTGATTTTATCAACGCAACTTGCCATCAATGTTAGAGGCCGGGTTGGAGTTTCATTTAATTGAAAAGTTGAAGCATTCATTTACAGCATGAAAGTTGCTGAAACATTCATTTTCACAAAATGAAAGAGTTTACGACGTCAATGTCAATAAAACAAGTTTGAAGAAAAAAGAAGAAATACAAACACATGAACAAAAAAACAATATCTCACATAATATCTCAAATAATATTGCATGTACACCGTTTTTTTCTCTTTTGGGCCACTAAAATAAAAACTATAGTTTAGACATGCACATGCCAGTACCTTTTCACAGCACATAACAGATGCCGCTAAGACCTTGTATATAGTTCGTTGTCATGGGTTTACATTTTTATAATATTTTTTTTAAAAGGAAAGGGGTTCTTACTGGGAAATGTCTTATCATTTATTTTCATTTTTACATGCAGGTCCCTAAACCTTTTAGTTTTCTTCCTTTCCTCCTTTATTCATTCATTTAAAAACAAATCGAACAAGATAAAGATATATTATGCAAAATTATTCAGTATGTTATTACACTTAGAAATACAAACATTAAAGGACAACCCAACCCTTGTAATATTAAGCTCATTCGAATGAAAGCTAAACAAAACAAAGAAACAGATGATGGCCATACAATCATGTAGTTTGAAATAAACCAGTGAGACTGAGATATGAAAGTTATGAATGTTTGAAAGTTATATGCGAATCTCAAAGTGGCAATTTTGTCAGTGGATTGTGACGTACTGACGGATGATAACTCTCCCGTTTGTCGTGTAATATCAAAATATCACTAATTTTTGTTTTTAAATGGGAAAGTTGTTTGCCAGTATCGAGCCACTATACACCACAGCGACATTATCGATCCAGCCAATTTGAACTTCCCATAATTGATTACAATTTCAAAAACGAATAACTTTCTTATTTTGGGGGTTCATATTTCGTTCAAACTTTCACCAGTCTGCTTCTTTGACTTTCAATTCAGCTCTCTTTTAGAGTGGTTTGCTGTTAAGGTATAGAATTGTCCTTTAATTTACAAACGAGAAAGAAGAGGCAGAATAATAACAATTGAAACCTGCTCTATATTCTATGGAAATTGAGAGATCCACTGTAAAGCAGAGCTTCTAAATTGGACCCCTTAGATAATAACTGAGATTCTGAGAAAAGTGTCTTCGGGAGTGCCTTTTTTTTATTTCCCGTTTTTCAGTAACTGCATGCAGTGGCTCGGTGACAATGGGGGTATAGATGTGGTCCCTTCCTAGCTGACTCTTGAGACGAAAAAAAAAGAGAGGTTTAAATGTAAGCCCCTTTTCTGAATTCTGCCTCCCAATTTAATCAGAAGATCGACGCTTATCCGTCTGTACGGAAAAAAGGTAGCATACAATAATTTTATTCCACGCTTCCAGACAGGCAGCCGATCGAGTGACTCATTGAATAAACTTTCTATAGCGGCCATCGGAATGAATGAATGAACTGCAAGTGTGATCTTGAACAATAGGCGGCCAACAATGTTCGCTGTTACACTTTGGTGCAAGAGCTCTACGGCGGCGCTCCGTTCATTTTGTGTGTTATGAAATGCATCTTGAAGCAGGCGACAGTCGAGTCGGAGATCGTGTAATCCGCTATCGTCAATGCTAGAACCACCTGCGGAACCGTTCGAAAAACTTAAGGAACCATCGTTCTGGCACTACTCAGCACCGTTACTGGATTAAGGAAGAAAATTATAAGATCAAGCGGATCCATTCTAGAAATTGGAGGATAGATTAGAGAGCAACCCGCCTTGGCCGATCGGAATTCGGGACAGGAATTGGATTATCACCGCGGGATTTTACATTGGAATACAGGTAAATGTGTTTTATGGAATCGGCAGCGGATGATAAGGGTGGTGACGGGTCGTGTGTCAGCCGAAGCTTGGGCTTGGTGGTTCTGCATGTGAGGGGTGAATTTATCGGGAGCTGGGGGGTAATTCCCATTTTGGTATTGCCACTGTGAAATTGTGTGAGATTTAGTGCGTATGCTAGTCATTATATAGGGTCTAGGGCTAGGCCTATCAACATGAAATATGTATTTCTAGTGTTATGAGATGATGTGGGCCTAAAGTATCTGGACCAAGATGAAATTCCAACCAAGATGAAAAATGAAAGAGGACAAAAAAGATGCAGAAGATGCTAATGATAGTGAATAACCTGATGAAAAGAAGGAGTAGGATTATGAGATATTCGCTAACATACAGGAAGATGTATTGAAAGAGATTTGAGGGTATTATTTACAGAGGGATGGGAATATCCCTGGTAATTAATAGAGATTGATGACGAGTATCATATCAATGGTGATTATGTAGATGGATGATTGGACCTACATGTAGTAGACCTAATAATGACTATTGAGGTATGGCCAGATCATGAACAGGAGAGGGGGATGATAGGGGTGGTCCATGGGGGTTGGGAGGAGAGAGACATGCAGAGAGACGGAGAGAAAAAGATGGAGAGAGAGATGGAGACATAGAAAAAGAGAGAGAGAGAGAGATTCATGCTAGATGGAGCAAGAGATGGAGATATAGAAAGAGAGAGTGAGGGAGCAAAAGAGAGAGAAAGAGAGTGAGGGAGCAAAAGAGAGAGAAAGAGAGGGAGAGAGAACAAGAGGGTGGGGGAGAGGAGAGGATGGAGGATGAAAATTGTGCAAAGAAGCAAGGAGTAGCTTTAACTTGAAAGTGGAAGTTGAAAAGGGGAGAGTACATAATAAAGAGTTCTGCTAAGAGAGGGAGAGAGAGAGAGAGAGAGAGAGAGAGAGAGAGAGAGAGAGAAGAAGAGAAGAGAGATAAAAGTAGAAGAGGGTGGGCGAGGGTAAAAAGGGTAAAAAGTTTGAGGGATGAAGAGGCGGGGAGGATCCATGTATACATGTACATGTACATGTAGATGATTGGGGGTGGATACTGATGGTTATAATGAAGAGGAAGATATTGACAATGATTATTTAAGATGTTTGATGATGTTCATGTAAATCATGAATTTTTTTTATGTCATGTACTTGTATAATACAAAGGGAGGATGTGGGAGAAAATGGAAGTAGTGGTGACAAGGTTGAAAACTACATGTATGCACTACAGTATATTTATAACAGTGGGATAAATAACAATGGTTTCCAGCTTCAATTGGCTTCCTAGAGATGATTATGATAACATGATGATGTCATCATCATCATCATCATCAATGTCATCATGTATAAAAGGATGATACTGTATATAAGATCTGTACAAAAGATTGTTGTTAAAAAGTTAATTCCATTCAATCTTGGGTTATTTATAATAATTAAAAATGCATGGCAAAAGGTTGAAAAGGCTAACATTGTCTCATTTACAAGTTACAACAACGCAATAAAAGTCCAGTGTTTGAAGTTAGAAAAAAAATGTTCTGCCTCTCATTCACAGTATATGGTTTTAGCTGAAATTAGTATACATGTATCTACATGCATACATGTAGTTATGGTCCATCATATTTAAAGAGGATCAAGTGAAATAGTGCTGAATCACTTCATTTGTGCGTATCACTTTGAAGAACTTTGTTTTTGACCGCCTAATATTGGTCAAAGACCAGTGTGTCATTCATATCACATATGAACACAATATGTAATAAGGACTTTGTGAATATTGGGTTATGTACACAGCCATGCAGTGCAGTAGGCCTATATTGTAATTGAACAGGATACAGCAGGTGCAATTTCCATTCATTTACACTCTGAATTCCCTTCCTTTTTTTCTCCAAACATCAATGTCATAAAATTTGACGTTAAAGAAAAGTAGAATAAGAAATCACAGCAAAGTGGTTAAAGGAAAACCTTGCCAGCTTTTTCTCTAAACAAGCAAAGTAGAAAAATAAATAATAACAAAATATAACAAATGACATGAACAATAAGTTTTGAGAATTTTTGTTTTTATTTGGTTTCCATTTAGCAAGTGGACCATTGTTCTTTAAAAAAAAAAATTATGGTAGTGTTGTTGAATGAAAACTATTGGTGTATCGTGTACTTTGGCAAAGTTCGTCACGTGCACAGAGTCATTAAATCCCAGTAAAAAAAAAATCTTGTTATATGTACAAGGGTCAAACTCTAACTTGAAAACAATTGGATGCAACTGTGACAATATAAAATGTGAACATTGGCCGTGGACTTTGTCAGTCACAGATTATTCACAAGGTGTTATTAGCCTTCTAAAGGGGTAATATTACAAAGATAATGTTCTAAATGTCATTGTCCATCTAACAACATGGCAGTGAACTAATAAAGATGCTAGAAGTACTGTTATTGTGGGATCAATTATTTAGATGGGTATACTTTTCTTTTACATATAATTTGTAGTAATTCACTTTGATTCATAAATACTTACATGTAATTGACTAGTGTAGAGAGGAGACACTGGAGACATATTTATATTTACTTTTATGTTTTCTTACATTAAAATGTGACTTAACGCATGTGTACACAACATGAATTCGGAGCTTAGAATCACCAAACCTCAAAGAAATCTGTTTGTGCATTTTATTTGCATGGGAATATTATCAGGCATTGCATGCACATGGTTATCATGGGGCCCGCTTTGATTTTTGAGTAGTAAAACATGTAAAGTCAACATCAAAAATCATATACAATGCTACAGCAAACAATAGAGTGAATTGTATTGTTATTTCATGTCAATATTGGTGGTTTATACTTGAAAATATCTTCATAATAATAGAGATATTGCATCCATGGAACAAAGTGTACAATGTAAGTGTTTTGTTTCTTTCTTTCTCTTCGAATGTAAACATATCTGTTAGTCTGACACAATTTCAATGTCTTTTTAATGATACTGACATTTTGCAAGGGTATTACATTATCATAACATGATCATGACAAAAGGAAGATAAAGAATGATAAATATGGTAGCATTTTTTGTCATCAGTGCTTACTGCTTACTGTTTTATGCATGTACCTGGACATTACTCTCCTGCTACTAGCTGTACATGTTGGTATGCATAGACATAAGATATGCAAAGCATGTAGTCCATTTCTTAACAAATGGAGGTATTATAGTGGGGAATTCTTAGTAGGGAGATAGTCATCATTTTTTTGTGTGTACTAGCTCTTCAAGGCATTTGTAGGGTGCTTAGATTTGGGTATTTAATCAGAGCAAATGGACTTTGGATCTTATGGCTTGCTTGTTTATGTAAGTGCATGATGGACTGCACGTCTAATTTTACCATTAACAGATGATCTTTTCAGACTTAATCATCAATAGCTCATGATCTTGCATGATAGATTTGCAACATTAGGAGGCCTGTATTTTTAGAATTTCGCTGGCAATGTTGAATTCCATAATATCTTTTTAGCTTTCGACATCAAAGTATTTACTGTTCCTTCTACTAATGGTATAGTAGGCTACAAATTCAGTTACCAGTACCGGTATACAATGTTATGTTGACTCTAAATATATGATAACTTTTTCCTAAAATGTAGCTCCCATGTATATACAAGTACATGTACTTACTGTAGGCCTCCATCCTTTTTTATATTTTGAACATTTAACATTGACAAACTTGTTACTGCAAGTTACAATGTATTGTTTCAAAACATGTAGCCTTCTTAAACCAACTACCAACTACCGGTATACAACAAGTTTACATGTATATTATTGTAAAATTATAAGTTCAAACAAGAGTGATACTCTTATAATTTATGTCGACATATTACAGAAAGAAAAATTATTCCAACTTCTTTATTGATTTTGTATTTTGAATTTCAAGTTTTAAATGAGCACCACCACATCAATGTATGAAGTGTTATCTTCTGAGAGAAATCCCACACCATTTTGTGAACCCTTATCTTACACGTGTCATGTAGACATGTACTAAAAATACCTCCGGAAGTGGGCTTGTGTGTAGGAAGCTTTGAACCATTTTCTACAATGTACAGAGTATGGTAGAATGCACAACAATGAAAACAGAATACCAGCTGTGTGGTTTCTTTTCTCATGCAAATCATGGTTGGACCTCTACTGAACCCTCTTTCTAATCTTACTTTTCTTTGTATTCAAAGTATGTCAAAGAGCATTGTCTACTCTCCCAAGACTGGTCCGTCATGTACATGTTGAGTAAACCCCTCCCATTTATGCTGTCTAAATGTAGCCTGTATGTATTTCAATTTGATGAAAATGGACTCTGTGGGATGTTAATAGTCCACATTTTCTGTCATACACACTGGGGGGCGTGAAATTCATAATGTTAATGTAAAATTATGTACAAGAAAGTACACCATATTACATAATGTCAATATAACTGTACAATATTTCAATGGAGAGCTTGCTCTTAATTTTTACCACAAATCTTCTTTACTTCATGATAAATCAGATTATACTCAGTGTGACTCAGGAATCATGCATTAAGGAATGATCTTATAGATAACAAAAATAAAACTGCTTGCAACAACAACAACTAATACCCCCTCCACATGTACATGTATACTGTCAGAATGGTGCAATTGGTATGTGGCATATACATTTCATAGGGTGACAGTTATAACAGCAGAAAAAAATGTGTGCATACATATCTATCTTAAAATAATTGTTCTTAAATCACTGCTAATTAAAAAAAATAATAATAATTGCATGAACAACTAATATCCCGCCATTTACTGTACAGAAAAATGCACCATATAAAGGAAAAGTTTGTCAGTGGTCTTATCATTGAAGAATCTTTATTTTGTTTATTCCTTTTTTGAATAGATTGTCTTTAGTGATATAAAAAAGGAAAGCATGCCATAATTTGAATTGTCTTGATAAACATAAGTGCATTTAGAACATAAAGGATCACAT